GACTGTCGGCGCCAACCTAGGCGAGGCCATTCCCGGCTCCTCCATCGCAGTCGCCACCTGGGGCAAGTCACACAATATCCGGTACGTTGAATACCGTCTGCCCTGGACTCGAGCCGCCGAGCTGCGGTTCTCTCTTCCCCCGGACTAACAAACGCCGTGGCGTACAGCGTCTACGTGCAGGACACGAACCTCAACATTGTCGAAAAGGTCTACGACGGCTCGCGCTGGCAGACGGGCAGTCTGCACGTCAAGGATGCCACGCCTCGCGCCGCACTGGGCGTCACGTCGTGGACGGAGCACAGCAACGTGGCGATCCGCCTCTACTACGGCTCCGGCTCCCCGGGCAATGTTATCAAGGAGAAGGGCTGGGATCACAGCACGGGCTGGTACGACGGCGACTTCGCGCAGGGCTCTATTCCCGCGTCCCACGTCGCTGCCATCCCCAAGCCCGTGCTGCGCGTGTACATCCAGAACGGGACAAAGTTCACGGCTGTGACGGAGTTTGAATGGGAGGGCAAGTGGAAGGTTGGGCAGCAGGCTCTGCCCCCGGCCTAAGCGGCCCCGTGTATTGCTTGCCCGCGGTTTGCATATCACGGCCACGGGCGGGATGGTGGACGGAGAGCTGGTTGCTTGGTGTGCGCAGTCTGCAACACTATGGACGGAGCGGCTGCTTGGTCCTCGAGGCAAATGGTTGTTCCAGAATGTGTAGTGTCATGAGATTCCAGTCGTTGAATAAGAACCAGTGATTCGTGCCCTTATATTTCCCATGACTCTAGTAAAACACTGACAAGGCGTACAAGCCAGGAACAGACGGAGCTTCCGGGATAACAAGGCAGTCTTTAGAAATGAATAGTACTCATACGATAGGTGATGGCTACCGTCCCCGTAGAGCTGGTAGGCCAGTACAGCGGTTCTTCTCATCAACCCCCGTGCTTGTCCGTCGATTCAATGTTTACTCTCCTCCCATCACCACTCGCATGCGCGATCAATCTATGTGCCTCGTAAGAAGAAAGGTATAGAAAGCGCTCGCGCCCGGGTCCCAACGCGCTCCCTGTGATATTCCCTCGGCCCCAAGATTCCATGACCCTTTGTCCCTCCTTCCAATCACAAATATGCCGCAGCTGGTATGTTTCTCTTCTCTCCCCCTCGCCAACGGATGGGGTGATATTGATCGCTCCCGCTCCGTGGCTGCCCAATATTACCCCTCTCTATGCGGCGAGGAGGGCAAGACGGCTCCCAGCTTCAAGCATGGAACTGGGGTGCGCATTCGCAAACACGGCCGTTCAAGCCAACTTGCCAACTTTCGCGGGACGTCTTGTTCAAGCCACCTTGCCAACTTGCACAAGAGTTGCAGAGCACATGCATGGTTGAGGCCTGTATACTACCCAGGAGTCTCGAGCCCGGGATGGCTCACTGCCATTGGTGAGAGTCATGCATGCGCAAGCGCCCGATTCAAACGAAGACAAAAGCCCAATGCATGCTTCGGACAAGGGCCAAAGGCAGTTGCCGTCTAGGCTGTTGCCGCAACTTGCTCCCTAATGGGCTAGAGTCATCTTCCACAAAGACCGACGACGGAAACTACACTGAGCCTCTGCTATGGTGAAGTGTGCTGATTTCGCTTCTAAAGTCGGCTCCTGAGAGGCTTCAAGATGTGAATTCAGGTCAACAGCAGGCTAAATATCGACAACGGGGTTTGAAATTTCTTGGTTAGAGGGGTCTGGCGGCGGTTGGGTTCCGTTAAAGACGAGAGCGGGGGAAGGCAGGATATCCGACGATAGCCAGGTCAAGCGACTGTGGTGTGGGCATTCCATTGTGGTCTCGGTCAAGATGCTAAGGCTCGAAATTAGACAGATGGCTTGGATAACCTTGGTTCTGGAGTCGACACAAGAGTCAGTATTGTCATGGCATGCTTGCCGACGGGAAAGATCAGGGGCTTGGGAGAGGATTTTTGTGTCATCTAGAACTTGTCTCCCTCCCCAAGCCCTTTGCAAGCCATTCTTGCTTGTCGACCGCGTCTCGGAATTTCTCCTGCTTAAGATTGCTTCTTTGGACTGGGTCGTGTGTGCCTGGGGAACCTCGTTCTTTGGAGAAGGGCAAGGCAGAATCTTTATGAGTAACTACGTCAAGGAAGAAGAAAGTTATCTGGGGTTTATAATGGAAATTGTATGGGGACTGTGTGACGTATCGTATACCTAGTATTTTATACGTACCATGTGCTTCAAATTAAACTTATCTTGGGCGTTTTTGCAGGGCATTTGGTGGTGCTTGTTGCGACGTCGTAAAGGACATGGAGCAGCAAATGGCTTTACAGTCGTCATTGTCAAGCCATTAGCAGCCAGAAACGACTTTATAACCATTCAAGCCCAGGGAACTAGTAGTAACTTATAATGGAAACCAACAAGGTGCAGTGTGAGCTGAAAGTTTGTTCATGGAACCGCTTTCATCTACGCGGAAGGCAAAAAGCATTTAACCAGATCACGCACGGGCTATCGCGCTTCATATTATAATACGGTACAGTAAATTGCAAGATAAATTCTAGCCCAGCATGAACAAAAGCGTATGATGAAGCCACATTAACTATTAACCAATGGGGGCTATCCTATGATATTGCTGGCTGTTGATACGAAACAGAAATGTAGAGCTGCCACACGGACGTTACACGAGGGCTATAATATCAAGACCTGGACCATAGGCTTACCGACTTCTTACATAAATTGATCTCTTTGGGTTATGTAGGATTTGAGCAAACCGGACCTTTGATGCCAAAGACTGTTATCAGATGAATGGAGTTATCACTCCAAGCCCTTTATTGATCCCTTGTCACAAGAGGCTAGATAAAGAGGCCTGATATAAATTTATTACTGGCTATAAATAATAATCAAGAGAGCAGAAGAGGCTATATCAGGCCTTATCCCAGGAATCGTGTGTAAAGACATAGGCACTAACTACAATTATAAGCTCAAAATCAAGAAAGGAGAAGAGATAATCTTAAATACTAGATGATAATACTATTACTACTTGAACATATAATAATATAAAGAAAATATGCAACCCTAAACTTTATCGCACGCAGCATATTATAGCGTATTCTTTACCAACTATACATACAAATATCAAGTTGTTTGTTTTATTCTATCGTTATTACCAGTCATAAGTACTGAAATGTAGAGGGGAGAAAGGACGCCCATACCCAACTACTCTGCATGCACTGCGATATAACATCGTCACCACAACCTATAACTACAAGACAACGGAGGCGACACCAGATGCCATCCTCCTGATCCTCCGCTAGCACTCATCATCGCCAACACCACCATCGACCCGAACCAAGACCTTGCCCCTCGCATGCCGCCCGCCCAGCTTCTCATAGGCCTTGTCGGCGTCGGCAAACGCCCACACACTGTCCCTCACCACCCTGAGCTCGCCCCTAGCCAGCATGCCCACGATGCTCTCGCGGTCCTCCCGCGTAGGCGACATCATGGACGCGCCCTTCCACGGCCGGCCCACGCCGCCGAGCCACCTGGCGACGGGCCACCACTCGTTCAGCTTCATCTGCACGACGGCGCGCAGAAAGTCGGGCACCCCAAAGGACGGCGGCTTGATGCCCACGGAGCAGTAGACGCCACCGGGGACGAGGTACGACGGCGAGCGGGCATACAGCGCCTGGAAGCCGAGCGTGTCGACGACGGCGTCAAAGGGCGCCGAGGCAAAGGCGGCGCCGAGGTGGGCGGCCAGGTCAGCGTGCAGCGTGTAGTCGACCACGTCGTCGGCGCCCAAGCCTCGCACCGTGTCCGCGTTGGCGCCGCTGCACACGCCGACGACGCGGCCCGCGGCGCCGACGGCCTTGCGCGCCATCTGCACCACCATGGTGCCGATGCCGCCGCTCGCGGCGACGACGAGCACGCCTTGGCCCGGCTTGAGCGCGGCGTCGGCGACCAGCTGCGCGGCCGTCATGCCCGTCAGCAGGCAGCCGGCGGCGTCGGCGAAGCTCACATTGTCGGGCTTGCGGACGGCGTACTTGGCGGGGATGGCGACGTACTCAGCCAGCGCGCCGGTGCCCGTGGCCAGGGCGTGCGAGGCCGGCAGCATGGCGACGACCTTGTCGCCCCGGGCGAAGCGGGAGCCCGCGGCGTGGGCGTCGGGGTGCCACGTGTCGGTGACGGTGCCGCTGAGGTCCATCTCGGGCGTGCAGGTGTCGGCGCGCAGAAGGGCCGGGATCAGCGTCATTTGGAAGATGGCGCCGACGTTGAGCCCGGCAAAGGCCACCTTGACGAGGATCCATTCTTCGGGGGTGGGCGAGTCGCGTGGTAGAGGGAGACGGGGCGGCAGGGTTGGCGCTGGGCCGGACGTGAATGCGAGGACGGACGAGGGCGGGCCGCGCGCCGTGAAGGTCCAAAGGCGGTGGTGGGATGTCATGATGAGGGGTTCTTTGGTGTTGAGGATGTTTTTGTTGCTGGAGGCGGCCCTGGGGTGCCGGATTTTGGGTGCCCAAGGGCGGAGTAGTAGTTTCTGTGTTTTACACTCGCTTTTTCAGACGGCACACGTCAAGTCGGCAGCTTCGTCCTGCACCTGAACATGGTGTTGAGCGTCGTTATTTGTGTCTCGAGGCTTGTCAACGTCGCCCCACACAGCTGAACACGGGGTTCATGCCTGGCGCTCTCCAAACCAATAGTCCTGCGCGGCGTCAACTTGAAATCTGGCCTTTTGTATCGGTACTTGTGTGCCGGATTGTATGTCTCTGGCGTGTGTCCAATATTGCGTTGATGTGGTCGGTAGACAAGGAATGCGACGCCGTTTGTGGATCAAAAGAAGGTTATTCCGGCTATCGGGTGGTGCCGAGGATCGGCCACTTTCTGTCTTTTCCTTTCCTTTGCTGCAGAATGTTGATGAGTCGCAGATGAGTTGGCCGGAATGTCACTGGCGTTGCTGTCATGGTCTGAGTTTGGGTTCTCGTTGACGAGTTGATGGGGCTGATGTCGTTGACTTTGACTTCAACAGACATGACAGATGGTAACTTTACTCCACCCGAGGTGGGTTAGGGTTAGGGTTCCGCTTCAACAGGCTCTTTTAGGCTTGGCGAGAACCGCACCCGCGGGACGGCATCAAAATCATAATCGAGACATCTAGAGCCTCGACTGATTTGCAACACGAACATCTTCAACACATCAATACGTCATTGCCACCTTTCGTCATCAATGCAACCACCCCGCTTGAGCGGCCAGAGGTCGCTGCGGTCGCTCTGCAGCTGCGCCTTCAGGGTAGCCAAGTTTAATGTGTTATGCTGGCCCGTCAATCACCTCGAATGAAACGAAGCATTGCCGCTCGTGTTGCAGTTGAGTCTTGCCGGCAAAACATCACGATGCCATCACCCCCAGGTTTGCCCTCCCTTCAAACATGATCCCCTTTCCACCCCATCTAGCACACGCCTCCTCGAAAGACTGGACCCTTCTCCAGACGGAAACCTCCGCTTCTCCCTCGTCGCAAAAGACCTCGACGACATCACGAGCCCACCTTACATCTGCCTCTCGTGTACCTGGGATACAACGCCCTTCATTACGCCGCCGACCAGGCCCAGCTGGAGTGTGCCAAGGTGCTGCTCAGGTGTGGGTGCAGGAGCAACGAGGACCACCAAGGCAACCTCCCCGCGGATTTGGCGACAGAAAAAGGCCATGACGCCGTTGCCGCTTTTATTGAAGCCGCGCAGGCAGGGGAGGCAGAAGAAGAGCAAGGGACGGCCAGCCTCGCCGTGGCCTCGAGACGTGTGCCGAGGCCCATGGTCTGGGCCGACACCATTTGCATCAATCAGGAAGATGTCGCCGAGAAGAGCGCCCAGGTGGCCATGATGGACCGGATATACTCGAATCGAATGCCATGTATACTCTTGCCTGTCTGGGACCACCAGATGACCACTCCAGCAGGGGGATTCAAGTTTTAAACACTCTGTCGACGCATCTCGCCGCGTTGAAAGACGCCGTCATTGAGCCCCTTTCCGGCAAGGACAAGGGAAAATACGCCGCCGCCAACATGACGTACATCTCGGAACGGGACTGGGCAAGCCTGGCCTCTCTCTACCAACGACAATGGTTCCGCCGCGCCTGGACCGCCCAGGAAGCCGTTCTCCCCGGCGCACTGCTCATGTGCATCGGTGACCAGTCTCTATCCTGGCGGGACCTGGGCCAAGCCTCGGAAGCCATTCCATACAACGAAGGGAGGCTGGGCTCGTCGCTATCATCTCGATTCATCCCTTCAGGTCTCCCAGCCGTGGCCGTTGTGTGAAACATGGCAGAGATGTCGAAATGGCGACGCTTTAAAAATTCAGCTAGCCGAGGTGGCAGGGGCGGCGGCGGCGGCGGCGACGACGACGCCAAGGACTCGCGATCGCGGTTCACGCTGAAGCATCTGGTGTACAACTTTTGGACTTTTGTAGCGTCCGACCCCCGGGACAAGGTGTTCGCCTACGACGGCCTGCTGAACCTGTATGCTGCGGAGCGGCACCGGGCCGACTACGGCATGGGTCTCGCGGGGATTTACACCGCGGCAACGAGGGACCTCATCCGGGGCGAGGCATCTCTAGCCGCCCTGTCGAGCTGCGTCTACCCGCTCTGCCAGAGGAAAGACCTGTCGTCCTGGGTGCCGGACTACAGCGTCGCGGCGGCGAACCCTGTCCCTCGCAGCTTTTGCGCGGACAGGGGGCTGGAGTACGTCCCGCCCGAGACGACGCCCGACAACGCGGCGAGCAGCCTGCTCCGTGTACGGGGGTGCTTTATCGGCCGCGTCTAGGCCGTCGGCGGGCGCTTCGGCACGAGGCCCAGCAAGAAGCTCGCGTTTGACCCGTCGTGGCTGAAGCTGCCGCTGTCACTGCAAGGCAAGGGCGGCTACCTGCCCGGCGCAAGCCTGTCGTGTTTCCTGTGCATGGACACGTCGCCGGGCAACAAGGTGTAGGTGCTGCCCGGGTTAAATACGCCGGCGGTTCTAAGGCTGGGTGGTGACAGCGCTGGTGATGGCCGTGTCGGGAGGTATTCGTTTATGGGGGCTGCGTATGTCAGTGGTTTGATGCATGGGGAGGTGGTGCCTCTGTTGAGGAGTGACGTGGGAGAAATTGAACTTGTTTGATAGATGGAATAGATACATGCCCATCCATTCATCTATATGTATGTATACATGTATTTTTACCCGCGTCTTTGCATAGATGTACATCGGCCGTTATATACAACAGTATATATACACATATCTAGTACATTGAAAGTTCCTCCCGTAGCTTCCATAGGTATAGTCTTGTTGCTAGAATACAAGCCACATGATGCTCTCGTCGATTAGTGAGGCTGACTTGTATATTTTGAGCATATTTTACACATCTATACCTACAGGTCTATGTATGTGCGTGCGTGCGTGCCAGAGTAGATATACATCAACGCCGTATACAAGGTCCATATTATACAGCCACCTACTTCACTTGCAGTGTCTCCAGCAGTGTCTCCAGCCGCTCATCATGGTTCCCGAAAATCAAGGCGTACAGGGTCCTTGCGTCCATCATCAAGTCCAGCTTGTACGACATGTGAACACTGCCGTCGTCGAAGCCCCCGTCGGCCAGGACGTCCCTGACAGTCAGGGCGGTGCCGCAAATGTGCATCCTCACGTCGTTGGAGTGGTCCTCGGGGGCCGGGCGCACGACGACCCTCTTCATGGGGTGGCCGTCGACGCGGCAGACGAGGTCGCCCTGCCGCGTGTCGGGCGGCACAAACGCCAGCTTGCAAGGCGTCTGGCCCCACGGCGCCGCGGACATCTTGAGCATGGCCAGCCGGGGCTCGTCGGGGGTGGCCGTCTCGTGAGCCCAGGCGCCCTGCAGGCCGGGCGGCGGGCCCGGC